TCGGTCATAAATACGTCCACCCGCGCTTCGCGTATTCCGGACGATGAAATATCGAAACGGCACGGCGCAATTTAGGCGCTAATTAACGCCGTTAGCGCGATTAACTCTGCGCAACGCGCTATGCCCTTTACGGCAAAGGGCTGACGCTACCACGGGCTTTAAGGTTGAGCCAAGCGAGCCGCGTCCCACGCTCTAATACGCAATTAATAGTTACCTACGAAGGGAAAAAATAATGCGGAAACAGAAAATAAAAAAGATGGAACGTTATAAGATACCAATTTAATCCTGGATTATCCGGGATAGTGACGCAATAAGATACTTTGTAGGAAAATCCTTTTGTGTGTTCGATTTGAATAAATAAAATTTATTGAAAATTCCATTAGCGTGCCGTTATAAAAACAGCTTAGTAATTGCAATGTCTTTGAGCAGAAAGGCGATAAATGTCATTGCACGAGTTGGAAACAGAAAGCGGGAAATTCAGGGGTATGGAACAATCGTTGGTCATTTCCATGAGTGCGTTATCAGCGGGATTGCGTAATAGAAATTACCCGGATCAAAGGGGGAACAAATGAGATCGAAGAGATTCCATTCGGGCTCTAATGGAGTTTGTACATGAAACACTTATGAGCTATTCACAGTCGCTTGACCCAAGAACAACATCCATCGACCCAGCCAAGATTCCTGCAAGTTTCCGAGCCCTCTTCACAAGCCCGCCCTCATCTCGTTCCTCTCGTTCTCTCTCTCTCTCTCGTGCACCGCCTGTATTACTTATCCACGTTACAAAATTCCGCGTGTCGCTACGAAATTCCGTGCAAATCGACTACCGGCGTCAGAAATTCGGCTCGCTTTCGAAATACTCGGCCGAATTGCGCCGCACGAATCCACCCAGTTACTCCGTTTTCCCGAATAAAGTGAAACTTCGTTTATTCGAACCATTCTCGATACGGTGCTCGTTCCTATACCTGGGGAGCCACCGCAAAGTAGAACGTTCGATAATATCCCTTGGAAATTGACCGGCGCGGATATGAGATAGTTATAGAGGGGAGATATATTTTCGAATAACCTGATAAAAGTGCAGGCGAATGAGACTGGGCAATAAAACTTCTTATAAAATGGCAAAAATAAAAAATGAATTCTAACAAATAGAGCCCGTAAGCCGCGCAAAGTTCCCCCTTTAAAATAAAAGTATACAAACATGATAACGGTAACGCGACTGTTTGTGACGGCATACAGTGGGTGAAAGAAACACATGCGCGTGTCAACCTTTTCCCCCGGAATAAATTTACAAGAATGAAGAAAGACAAAACAAAGAAATACCGCTGAAAAACAAGCCCGCTGTTAAAACAATTTGTGTTAATATTATTCGTATTATGGCTCCTGACTACTCGCTGCAACCGTCCTTATTTGATGATGTCCGAAGCGAGAAAATGCATGCTTAGAATTCTTGCGTTATACGTTCAAATAGAAAAGATATATATAATGACATTTACGGTTCGAAACACCTGTAAAATTATCCGAACGATTTCTTTTACTCGAACAATCAATAAATAGTCGTAAAATTAACATTGACAAAATCATGGGAAAAGAGGTTAACAAGGAAAGTTCTATGTTAAATTAATTTTGTGACTATTTATTGATGGTTCGAATAAAGGAAAAATGTTCTGACAATTTTATAAGTGCGCTGAATCGATCACAAATGCTGTTTTGTGGGTATATTTTTTATTTGAACATACAACGTATAACACGATAATTTTTGATATGCGTTTTCTCCTTTCTGAGGTAATGAAACAAGGACAGTATATATAGCGAGTAATCAGAAGCCTTAAATCGCTGCTTCCACCGTAGCGTCTTTCATTTTCGCGTAAGATTATTAAAATGATGACGCACGTAAATGTCCTATTTACCCGCTTTGGCTATCATAACAAGTTCTAATTCGTAGTTTGAAGAATTGTCTTGGTTATGTTCGCATCATCGACAAGAAGTAGCTACGCGTGTCTGCATAAACCGCTGTATGCGGTTTCTTTCTGATATATTTATCCTTGCATTCAAGGGTGCCGAACGTATCATGAGCGTATCACGAGCGTGATATTACGAGTATGAGAAATGGGTCGCGTGTCACTTACACAAGTAAGACTCTGCGAATAGATCTGGAAAAATGATAAAAATCGCCGAACGACGATACATCATCGGTTGATATCAGAGCTCGATGATCGATAGTCGCATTGTGAACGGCGACGCGAAGAGCATAGAGGATAACGCAAAGATGACAGAGAAATCAATAAGCAATTTATCACGCCTATAGAATTTTTTTACCAATAATACCTACAATTAGGGGTATACGTTCGAGTATATACGAAACAGAATCCTTTACCTTTCGGTCGTTCGCAATCCGAGAACTCATAACGTTACTTGCTATTCTTTACGGATTTTTCATTTATTATAAATGATACCGACAGACGAGGATGTAATATAAAATTCTACTCTCTCCTTTAATATATCTGCGAACATTACGGACGATGCACCACAATGAAACCACCGTGTGTGATATACTTAAGAAAGATTGTTAGTTTACTTACCTGCCATTTACAGCAGAAATGCACGTACAAATTGAAAAATACACTCAATACACTTCATAATAAATTGTAAAAAAAAAAAGTAGAATTCGCAGCACATTTCCTCTATTGAGGAAAAATTGATGGTAAAATTCGAACACAATCTATGAATACGTTTGTTGCGTTAGCCTCAAATGCAACAAATAGATTAATATTTTTTTTTCATTTGACAGGCGAGATACATGTTCCTAGTTGATTGAATTCTGCGTAAAATACTTCGATGAAAATTTAAATTCCACGTTTCGTATCTCTGCATATGCACCATATCTATTTCTGCCCCTATTTCCGGGACGGAAATGCTACATATACGACAATCAAATATATGTATATAAATAACAGCACATTTTATAATTTTTTCTTCACATATCAAAAAAGTACCGGTCACTGCAATATGTGACACATGAGAATAATTATTACGGGCTCGACGAACACGTTCTCGTGATAATTCGCGAGCAGATATATCATCCTCCTCCCACTTTTAATTTACAAACTGAACAGCAATCAACTTACATTATATAATCTTATCTGCAAACCGAGAACGATAGCGTTTATTATATTAAAGCCCGTGAAGTCACGAAAAGAGATCCAAAATCGCGATTTCCACTCAAAGTTTTCCAAATTATTATTTCGATTAATGCTCGCTTCTATAATTAGGTGAATCACTAGATCGTGCGACCTATTTTGGCGAGGAAATCGCGATAAATTCATTTGTATAAATGCATAATATATAAATTACTCGCGCAAAATGAGATTCTCGTTAATATATGCAACACGTTGCACTTGCGTCAGCGATTTTCGCGCGAGATGCGATTCGAATGCCATATTAAACTACATTAAAATTCATGACAACGTGACGATATTAATAATTTATAATGTTAATACTTGGCGTTAACGTAATAATTAGATAATTAATTTTCTTTGACTCACTGGAGAAATTAGCGAAAATGAAAATTCTCTCTGCGACCTATGATAGTGCGAATGTCCACTCGTTATTTGCGAATCTGTACGCTGATTTTGCATATCGTTAATTAAATGCGTTAATTACAACGCGCCTTAACATCACGCGATAACTCGATCATTACCGCCATCTATTGGACAACATTACAATCAATATTTTCTGTATCCAGTATTGGTAATACAAAAATGTAAACTTTCGTAAATTACAATAAAGACGAACAAAGTAAGAATACTTTATGACGATGTGTATAATTCTAAGAAAAATAACATAAATAATTAAAAAAGTATAAAGACAAAAATTAAAGAAAAAAGATTGAAGTTAATTGTGATCCTCTTGTGATCCCATTCGATAAGATTTCTACACCTCTTTCTTTTAAACAAAAATATTTTAAGCTAAATTTGTCTGCAGTTGCGTATATATCTACTCGACTGATAAAACAGTTTCCTTCATATGCTACATACATCCACAGAGACCAAGCAAATACATAGCGAAAAAGATATCTGAACGAGTAGCGAAGCCAGTACTTGCGCTTAATTAAAGTAAATTAGAGGTCATCGGGGGACAAGTAAGCGCAGACCGGTTGACACCCGGTATAGCGTGAACCAATCTACTGGCGCCAATGCGATAGCCCAGATTTCACAGCAGCGTCAACCGATTCGTTTTTCATGTCCCACTTTTTGTCGAAGGCGATCGCGGGCAAAGTAATTCAGCTATCCATACCGATCTCTAAAGATAATGAAAGGAAAAAAACAAAGGAAAAGAAGAGCGAAACGTCCATTTTAACGCATTAAAATGGAAAATTGACGCACAGATATATTCAAATTATTCGCACGGCTATTCGTATGTGAATATGAACAAAGTTCATGATACTATTAATATTTTGCATTAATTGTTCCAAACAAAAAGAATCGCGTTGAGTATAATTGCGAAATAAATATTGTTCTTGATAATTGGATATTCTTAACTGACTCGCATTGTAAGGTTAATTGATACGGCGAATGAATATTCTGCAAATGTGATATTTCTCTCGTTGCGAATAAAGAATGATCGACTATATTTCCGATATTCTTTACGTTGTGTTTATCGAACTTATCTGCTTTCATTTATTTCAAGCTGCCATTTTGTACATCCAACTTTAAATTGCAAATTACGTTTTTGTAAGATAACCGTAATGCCGCGTTGATGACGAGGTTGTTTAAAGTATGCACGTTAATGCACTAAAGCCGCAAAGTCACGTAGGCATTGTTGCCATAAATATTAATTAACGCTAATTATGCTGAAGCCGAGACTTTCTATGCCTTTTAAAATGAACGCAAGTAAAAAGGGACAAAGAATTATTTAAACTTCGCTCCGATCCCATTGATGTTTATTGATACACGAACCGACCATTCTAATGTACAAAAGCAATCAACGCATGCATAATTACTTACCTCCGAAACAGGGACGAAGGCACTAGGTCCATCGAAGGCCGGTACCGGTACTGGAAGTCCTCTATCCTGTAAAAAAAAATCAGATTTTCCATTATAGTACTTCTTATATTCGACCTCCAACCTAGAACTACTGTAACTCAACGACACTCGCCAACAGCCCGGCTAGCTCAGTCGGTAGAGCATGAGACTCTTAATCTCAGGGTCGTGGGTTCGAGCCCCACGTTGGGCGAGTACATTTTTTTTCATATAAAAGCGAATTTTAAAAAATCTTCATCCGAATAACTTTCGTATTATTCGCTTTTACATAAAATAACAAAAGCAACGATAGAAGTGAATAAAAAATGTAACATTTGAATACGTTCGAGTTACGTCACGAATGCAATTCACAAATACTCGTATCTGAATATATCGCGAGTAATATTTTCTGTGTCTATAAGATATCCTTTTTTTCATAAATGTTCTCGATTATATACGATAAAATGAGAGAATTAGATATTTTGCAAATTGCACGCTTTATCGGTGTCGGAATATGACACATTGTATTTTATGTGTAAAGTCTCCTTCCTGGCTTCCCGGCGGCTTCGTGCCTGAAAACCGTTCTACACTATATACAAGCTTTACACACAAGTCGTATCGATCGGCCTCGAGTGTGACAATATCGGTGAGCATAACCGTCGCCGAAACGATGGATTCTATTCACATTTACGTGCGAGCGCGCGAACACACACACACGTCTGATGTATACTTTTCCGCTGAGCCGTCTATTAAAACGATTGAAATATCCATCACATTTTTAAATTCGCGTGTAATCCATCCGTACATTCATCCGTTTCGCTTTTCTCGTCAAATGTACCTTATGCATTCATGAAATTGATTAATCTGCCGTACACAAGACTATTAGAGTTAAATTTACGAAGGGAGGATATTCGTCGTGCTTTTTTGCAAATTAACGAATCCATGAATCAGTCGCAATGACGCCATGAAAATACGGTTTTCGAAATTAGTACAAAGCGAGGTAAATGTGTAGGAACGTTTATATGGTCACTTTGATCCCGCGCGAACTCCAAGATAGCCGATTATTTTTACGGTCTACTCTCATCCTGCCGAAGACGAGCGAGATCCGAACGTATTGCTTCGCACCGTCGGTGTCCTTGCCGTCGTGAGGAACGTGAAAAGAAGTGACGTTAAAATAATACGGAGCTGCCGGCCGGAAATATTTTTTACCCTTCGATTTTACGCCGTTCCGATCGCCGCTATTTTCGTTTCGTCCACTTGGACATTTACGACGCATTTACAACGGCTGATCGTTCCTGACACTAGCGACGCAAGATTATATATCGCCGAGTATTTCTCTCAATGGCGCTGACCGATTAGTTCGATTCGCCGTGGTCTTTCGGAAAGATTGACTGGCACCGTAATAAGATTAATGACCGTCGTAGAATTCGGAGGGAACTCCTCTGCGATCGGGCCGGTTGCTTTAACCGCCGAGAACTACTAGCTGACGGAGTATTTTTAGGCCGCAGTTCAAACGTGCCCCCCAAAATAGCCAGTCAAAACAACTCCATTAATATAACCGACGGTTACCACTATCCCGTTTATCTTTTATGCATAAGCACATCCTTCGCCGGACCGTTCCCACGCACTCGTTTTGGTATACTCGCGAGTTAAAACGTCCGCGCCGCGGAAGATATCATTTTCCCCGTGATTAATGACTGTCCGGGTCTCAAAGTGGCCCGTTCGAAAACTTTCCAAGACGCAGATTCCAAGATTAATTATAGCAATGCGGAGGAACGAATTATGAAGAAACGAGATTTCTTTTCTCGTACGGAGAAATCCCCCACCGTTGAGAAGGTTAATCAGCAGCCACCACCCAGTCGCTCGAAATGCGCGAATAGCTGCTGCCGCGAGACTTTGTAACGCGAGTCTCGCGGTGGTTTATTTATCAGAACAGCCAAGGCGGTGCATTAAGAGCGAGGATACAAAGTCACAGCGCCGTAAGAATCGCGCTCGGCAGTTACTCTTCGCGAAGGACTCGGATAAATTGCCACAAAGCTGGAAAGATAAAGCTTGAAATATTCTGGACAATCTCAATTCCGCCGCGGAATGTACAGCGTATCTCAGAATTATTGCACTTCCTCTCGCGGCGCGGATACTTACAGCCTGAGGAAAATTGCGATTGCTTCGAAAGCGGGACATTTTGCAGGGTCACAGCCAAGGATTCACTCGGTTATACCCCCCCCCCCCTTTTTTCTCTTTGAACCTTAGCAAACATTTATATTCGATAAAGTTGTACGTTGATCAAATCAAATGTCAAGTGAAAATAAACAACGTAATCTCGTCGCTCAATTTCGAATGAACTTTAGCGCGCGGCGGTCGCCTTCGGAGCTTTGCGACGACCGCTTCGACGACCGTTCGCCATAGAAATTGCAAAAGTGGTTTCGGGTCAATAGGTGATTTGCCTCGCAGAGCTGAAAGCAGGTGCGGCAAGTTCTGAGATAGCCTGTATACGTACGCGTCGCAGTGACCGGCGCGCGTTCCTCTGTGTTTGCCGACTCTGTGTGTAACGCGCGCCACGGCAACGTCTTCGACTTCGTCTCGCGTCCTCTAATAAACTACGAGGAGCACGCGGATACGAGGAACGCCCGTTTAGTCGAGGATGCAAACCTCCGCACGGGGACCGGCGCGAAAGAATTTCGGCCGAGAGTGCTCGAGAGTGCAAACCTCGCGGGCGTGTTAACGGACGAGTCTGGCGAACGTTCCCTCGCGACTTTGCGAGCGAAACTTTACGCCGCGGCCGCCACATCTAGGCTATCCGTTATCTCGCATCAGTCGTTTCGCGAGGATCTTTTCCCGCCGCCGCGTCGGAATGTCCCGTGTGTTCTGACTCAAGTCACACAAAGCAATATTTAATTCTCTTCTCGAAGCCTGCGAGCGAGATAACCACGGACAATATCGCGGCGATTTTTATTTGCGATTTCCTCTCGAGGAGCCCGGTTTGTCGCGTTCACGAGAAATTGACAGGACATTGCACAACCGGCAGAAATGAGACTCGAGTTTCGCAAGAGCGAATGGATCGACTGACCGATTGCTCGCGTAATTAACGTACGACGCCTCCGATAGAACACAAGCGGCAAGTTGATTAAAGCGGTCAAAAATTAACGCTGCACGGAGAAAACATGTTTTATTGGAACAGCAAATTGTTTGTTAATATAATGACAGCGAATAAATTCGTCACACGGGAAATATAATTTTACTGTTGTAGCAAAACGCTCGTCGTCGACGGCAATAAAATTTAATTGTCGTAATCAAATTATTTTGCTGTCCATATATCCAGCAAATAGCAATTAATACTCTTAACAAATCTTTCTGCTGTCCAAACAAATTTTTTCGCTGTCATTATAATAACAAACAATTTGTTGTTCTAGCAAAATTTGTTTTCTCCGTGTTTAGCTGTCCGGGAGAATAAATATGGCTAAACCAAAAATGAAGGAAAAGCGCGCTTGTTAAAACTTTTCCAAATTAAGAAAAATAATTCGAAATAAAAAATATTGCATAAAAGAGTGCTAAACCCGGATACTCAATATGATACTTATTATGATGGATAACTCTCTGATATGAATATAACAGCGCTGCCATCCAGGCATAGAAACCAAAAAAATGAAATAGTAACTGCTTTTTGACGAAGGAGATAACAAAAGTGATTTCTCAGACATGAAAATAGTGACCAAAAGTGACATTTTTTGTCCAATTCTGAGAGTAACTAAAACTATTTAAGCGAAAAAGTAACATTCTTACTTTCCCAGATTTCTTTGGATAGCTTAACATATAGCGAGTTTTTTCCACAGCACAGTTCGAAAGTCCATTACAAGAGAAAAAGGACATGAATGATACAAGCCTTCGGAACAATTTTATTAAGAGAGACGACAAAAATATGTGTACAACGTCCATATTTTACAAATTTAACAGCAGCCCAGGAAAAAAAGTGGCTATAGCGACCCATTTTGAACGACAGAGGATTTTTTTAGTGACTTGTCAAGAAAAAGTGACCAGATGACAGCGTTGATATGACAGATTGATTAGAACACGAAAGACATCTATCGGATACTTTAATCAGGGACGTCCTGAAACAAATCGAACCATCTTCGCTTACCTTTACCATCTCGAGGATCTCCGCGCACTTGATCCTGACGTTCTGGAAGGGACAGTTGACGCTGAGCCTGAGGATCACTGGCAAGTGCAGCGTCACTAAACTGAGGTACTTGTTGGCCTGCGCCTGTCTGGGTCCGTCCAAGGCGTTACCCAGGTTCAGCATCCTGCCGACGTCGCCAGGCGTCACCTCCGGGCTCTCGAGCACCCTGCCGCTTTTGGAGGACACGTCGTCGTCCTGCGAGAGCGGCCTCTTGATTTGCCCTGCGCTGAACTTCCGCTCGTCGTTCTTGCGCAAGTAGTCCTGCTCGGACCGCGGTCGGCACGCACGGGAATCCTCCGCGTTGTCGTCGTCGCCGCGCGCGTAGATCGCCTCGCGATCGTCCTCCAGGTTGACGTCGAGGTTCATGCGCGCGGGATCTCGCGTGTTCTCCTGCCGGTAAAGCTCGCTCTCGTTCTCGAAGCCGTCCAGCGTGTTGAAGACGACCCCGTCGCTGCGGCGCGCGCTCGCCACCTCGCTCTCGTTGAAGGACACGTCGTCATCGGCGCCGCTGTCGTAGTATCGGCGCTCGTGCGTCAACATGTCACCACCACCGCCACCGCCAGCGATCTTAGATCGACGACTCAAGCTCCGACAGTCGAACGCGGAGGCGGCCTCGCTGCGCGGGTGTCCGAAGCCGCTCAGGTTGTCGTCGAACTTGGGACTCTTGCCGTACACCCTCGTGTCCGCGTCGAGCTCATCGTCCTCCAGCTGCTTCTGCTTGGCGCCCTTCACCTTCGCGTAGCTGCTCTTCGTTCTGCCGGGGCAGCAGTCGTCGCTCGACCGGTCGCTCGACGACGAGCCCGGATGGTACTTGCGCTCGCTCTCGCAGCTCGAGCCGAAACGCGGCTCTGAGCTGAAGCGCGGTTCCGAGCCGTCCTTGAATCGCAGGCACCTGCCTTGCTGCTGCTGCTGCGTCGGCTGCTCGATCTTGAAGCCCTTACCACCCTCGTCCGAGGACGTCGAGTGACCGGACCTGCAGCTCTCGACGCCGTCGCCGGTGTACCTCCGCCTCTCGTTGCCGAGGCGACCATCCACGCAGTCGAACGCATCGGCCGGGTATCGTTCCGGGCACTCTGGATTGTTCTCGTCGAAGAAGGTCGAGCCGTCGTTCACACTCTGCGGGAAGAAACCCTCCGTTCGGAACGAATCCAGCAGCAATTGGTGCTGGGGACTCCTCGGGGACGACCTCGTGGGCGAGCGCTCGATACTCATGTCGTATCTTTACCCAAATACGAATCGATTAGAGATCGATAACGGGCACGTGTGTGCCTAGCTTTCGAATTTTCGGAGGATCAAGAATTGTACAAAGTTCTGGAAAGTACTATGAAAATCATCCTCTCCTCCTCGTTTCTTTCTCCCTCTCCTCCTCAAGCCCCTATCCTCAAATATATATCAATTATAAAGAAATTGCTATGTTTTCATTATCTGAATTTCCATTATTTGAATTTCCATTATCTAAACATTCGAGCTGTACTACTTAAGCTGCGGTCAGATTCATGCTTACAGCACTGTAAGCGTGAATTCTATCTTTCTTTAGCATGTAATCAACAATAAAGATAGAATGACGCTTACGGGCGCTGCAAGCGTAAATCGGACCGTAGCTTTAATTTTTATTTCTATTTTATTCTTATCTTAATATATCCTTAAAATATATTTATCTTCTACAACGATACTTCTTAGAAAGCAAGGTCTTAGAGCGTTAATAAACGTACATCTATCTATCTATTCTCCCTCTTCCAATTAATGGTACTCCATGCCTCTATAAAAGAAATTCCTGCAGAGGAATAGCAGTTTCGGGTTATTCTCTAAAGATATGAACTGAAATGTTCACGAAACATTAGAAATCATGAAGGACACGGTACTAAGGCCATAGTCAAGCCGAGTATGACTAAAATTATTTGTGTGTGTGCTTGATCTTACTTTCACGACTAGTTAATTAATATTATTTGCATAGCTTGAAACTTAGTACAACCTCGCGCATTAGATGATGAAGTTCAGAGAAAATATTTAAAAAAATCGCAAGTTATATATATACAGTGAAATATTTCGCGTCTTTTTTATAACTATTCCGCGCGGAGAATTTTTTTGAAAGACGCGTTAAATAGACGCATAAAAAATAAATAGTTGATCGAAAATTTTACTCCAGTCCCGGAAACTTATATATCATTAAATTGAGATCTGAAGATTAATATGTCAAAAGCTATAACGGTTGAAATGTTCGCAGGTTAATTTTGGTGGATTTAACTGTTGATTGATCGCGCTAGAATCAAACAATTCTAGGGTAAACTATGCTAAATGCAGTACAAATAGTATTTGCAAAATGATTTCTAAATTACTGTTTATTTCCGCAAAATCGTCATTGCCATCTAAATCTTTCATGAACTGCGTTATTTGAACTTTTTACAGTGAGATCTTTTTTATACGCCGCTTTCTCAATGTGATTATTTTGATTATTTCAATTATTTTGTCGGACTTTTCTATAATTACGCAATCCTTATCTATTATCGACTTTCTTACAGAATCCCTTAAAAGATAAAATCACTTGCAAGAAATGGGCTGTGAATCTGATTCAATGAAGGCAAGTTATCTGAATTTTCAGAAATACGTGTTGTACGCGAGATATAACGAATCCGCGATATTTGATTCTTGTAGTTACGCTTAAACGAATATAATTTCCCCATCACGTTTATTATTAATCCCCATAACGTGCACATTTTAATGAGCCGCTCGTGATTATTTAAGTACCGCGTTCGCATCGGGCTTTACGTGTTTGCGTGACTGAATGCTGATATTAAATCCAGAACCAATAATTTGCCGAGAGGGAGAGAGAGAGAGCACGAAACGAAATGTTTGCACCGATTAAATATGTCCGCTCGAACAGAATTATGATACGATGCGAGATTATTTTAGGAAGTATTTATTACACAGCATACCGCATACATCATTCGTTATTTGATAATGGTTAATTGATTAATCGTTAATTAATGGCTCGAGTAATTGATCCCAACAAACAAAGTTGTTCAACAAACGGAATAATATTATTATATCGCACTCCCACGTGACACGCCCGTGTTTATTAAATAAAATAAATAATAGGATCAAATTTACTATATATCGATCGGACCTAAATATTTCGCGATGCATGAAGATACACACAATATGTGTGGTGTCACAATATAATATTCAAATTTCAGTGCTGTCATCCAGTCACCGGAACAAAAAAAGTGAAATAGTGATTGCTTCTTGACAGAAAAGTGACAATAAGTGGCCTCTCAGAATAATGACTAAAAGTGACATTTTTTTGTCAAGTTCTGAGAGTAACTAAGGTTATTTAAGCAAAAAAGTAACACTCACTCTTATTTTCTCCTAGGTTTATCTTTGAATAACTTATAGCCAGTTCTTTTTATAGTACGGGCTTGAAAGTTCATAACACGGAAAGACCAACAGCATGAACGATACGTACGGACGCTGAGATAACGGACCGGTCCTGAGCGGCAACAGGCGAGACGGCAAAAAAAACATATATATATACATGTGTATAACGCCTCTATATTTTACAAATTTAATAGAAGTTCAGGAAAAAATAATTATAGTGACCTATTTCGAACGATAGTGAATTTTTTAGTAACTTCTCTGCAAAAAGTGACGAAAGGTGACTTAAGTGACTGGATAGCAGCGTTGAGTATTCAGTTTCGAAATCACCAAGTGCGATTTATGATCATGGTCGAAGCAAACACGCGCTACCTAACGCTTATCCGGACGACGAATGAACGGTGACCACTCACCTTCCGTCTTGAGCCGAGAACCTGCCGGCCGCGTTCTTGCTGTCCTCGATCTCGCCGGTGTCCTCCCAGTGATTCGGACTGCCGACACCACCCAACCATCCTTCGACGGTGGTCCTGGCCACGGCCAAGGCGATGTTCCTGGCCGCCTCGTCCCTGTCGCAGAGCGGCGCCAGGAATCTACTGACGAGCTCGACCTCGTCGCCCTTAGTAGAGGCGCCGCTGCCCGACGAACTGTTCGGCTCTCGGTACATATCCTTTTTCCGTATCCCTGCGCACGTTGTTTTCCTTCGCTCCGCCCGATCCTTTCCGGAATACGTTCGCCCGTCCTCGAGGCAATCGCACGGATAGCGGTAGTGTATCGTGGCGCCCGCGCTCGGCTCGATTCCCAGGATAAACAGCGCGACGGACCGACGGGATGTTCTGTATTTTTCTTCCCGCCGAATCGCCTTTTCTCTCCTCCGCGAGCCGATATCTTAGCTATTTCGCGAGCTCGTCGCGCAATCCTCCTCCCTGCCCGAAACGCCGCGAGAGATCTCCGTCCGCCGGCACTGTAAGATCAAACAGCTCTCGCTATCATCGGGCTTTCTCGTCCGTTTTTTTAATCTCGATCGCGTAGATCGCCCCCACGACGCGTGCTATCTCGCGCGTCGATCGACCTCCCCTATCGCGTTCTCTCAGACTCCCGAGTAACTTTCCTCAAATTCTCGCTCGGTTCACCCAACCTCTCATTCTCTCTCGACTCTTCGCTCTGTCTCGCTCAAATTTGCACAAAATCTCCCCCTTCCCTCTGATCTTTCGCCTCAAATGATCGTCTGCGCGATTAAACGGTACTCGCGCGCGTTCCCATTTTCCAAAGTCTTCCCTCCAGCTGGCAAAGAAAGAGGCCGAGAAGAAGAAAAAACGAGGCTTACGAAAGTTAGATCGCGCGCGGTACTATCCTCGCGTAATTACGCTCGTTTCGTCTCGTTTCGCCGTAAAACTCGTTTCAGGAAGATTTTACCGAGATGCGGTGCACCTCGGGATACGTTTCGGGGCGATAGAAAGTAGGCAGACGTCAGCCGCCGCTACGCGTCGAGATCGGAGGGCGGGAATAGATAGGAGAGGCAATCGGACGATTCTGACGAACCTTGCACGGAGGAAACGATCGGCCGGGAACGCTTTAACTCGATCGCGACTCCGATCGATCGTAACGCGCCTCTCCTCTTCTCTCTTCCTCTTTCCCACCCATTATCTTCCCTTCGCGCTCGTCTCTCTATTTCCCTGTATCTCTTTTCCTCGAGATCGCCTCGATTTTGCACGCGGTTTGTCTCTTTCTCGCTAATATTAACGTTGCTACGCAATCACGAATTACATTTTCCTTATTTTACACCGTTACTGCGCGCCGATCTTCGCCGAATCTCTCACAAATCTTCCGTACCGTTTGCGTGGTCTGCTCGCACCCTCGTGTTTTTCCTGCGCTGCTTTAGTCCATGGAGTACCTGAAATCAGAAAAGGGAGATATACAGATGAATCGACTATAGATTGCCGATTGCGAAGGAAATGTCACTTAGAGAATGTGGTCCCAGAAGTGGCGGAAGCTAACTATACAGCGCGTTGTATCTTTTATAATTTGAACTATAAACTAACAGCTTTTGACATCTTAAACTTTAGAGGCGCGAACAAATGGAATATTATTCTTCGATTCAATTGAACGTGGGTTTTGTATTAATAGATCAGATGCGTCGTCACTAGGACATTGAATGCTGAAATGTGGAAAGTTATGAAAAGTGATGGACTACACGGCCTCCCGTCGAAATTGCAAAAAACGCTGAGTGTCCACTTTCCGCCAATTCGGGAGCACCGCGTCGGACTTCAATGAAATAAGAAAGTTTCGTCTATATAGACGAAATCATTTTCCTCTAGCGAATTCCTCCCTGTGTAAAATGAATGTACGTAAAACTCGGAAAGTACCGCCATCAGGGCGAAACGATCGGCATCGATCAGGAGAAGAGGAAATGAAACGCGCGGCAAAAAGACACAGATTATGACGCGGGAAACGCGAACATTTCGCTGAGTGATTTCATCCTGACCGTATTGAACTTCAATTTACCGCCGTCTGACGTGCTTCGATCGATCTTTCGCTCGCTCGATGGATGTAATATGTTAGCGACGTAAGCCCCTCTAATAGGGGAAACACTTTTCAACAGTACGTAATAACCGGCGGATTATCGTTCGGCAAGGAACATTATGCAATGGTAATCGAGAGCTACGATTCTTGAACCTTGAGGAAATCAGTATTTCGCGGTACGATTGACTTTCGCAATTGAACACTCAATTTTACGAGACATAAAGTGGATTAATTTCGACATCGCTTTTAACTTACAAATGACACGGCTACGAAAAAATCGCAAAGCGGCTCTTCGCGATATTTGTGATCGTGTGCTATATAATACTCGTGTATAATATACGTCACGCAAGAAAGAAATGAGCATTTCGTTGATACAAAGATATATATGCGTTTTACTGACGTTGCTGACTAACGTCGGATGATTCAGAACGATCAGCTGAGTTAATTTGTGAGTAACAGCGTACCGGGTGTCTTAATGTGAACAAGCAAGATGTGGACGATAGTCGAGCGCTTTAACGAATTTAAAAGCCACACGGGTACTTCTTTCCGACATGAATTAATAATAGGAAGTAATTAATTATCATTTTATCGGAATTGCGCAATTAATCAATATCATGGTACGGGTGGTCTGCAATTTGATTAATCGATTGTCGTGAGAGGAAGCCTGGGTCAAGGTTGCGAGGTCAGGAAATAAGAAAGGTCGCGTCAGGGTAGCAATTTATCGAGGGACGACGGGCGAGCGAATAAAACGTCAAAGGATATAAAGGAAGATGCACTTTCACGAAAAATAAATCGGTATGACGACGACGACGAGGACGAAGACAACGACAACGACGACGATGACATACTGTTCAAATTAGCGATGTTTTCTAGAAAAAAGAAATCCGATTCAAAGAATAAATCTCACGGCACACTCGGCGTTATTGCGCAAACGCATTCACGCGTATTTCATACGAGCATTTTCTTGTTACGTAAGTTGTAGAAAAGGCCTCGGAGGAGTTGTAAGTTGTAACGTTCGACGTTCCGCCGCTGCCGAGGAAAATGTTTTCAGCGTTATTTTTGTCCCTCCGAGACGCTTGAAATTCACTCCCGCCCGTTCTCGATTCGAATATTAAGCCGGTAATTGACTCAACGACTTCATTATCAAGTCAATGTAAGCAAATCAACGACACGTTACAGTTACCAACGTCGATAATACGTTGATCTGTTTTAACAGGAACTTTAGAAACTTCGCCATCTAGGACGTGGCTAGGCACGCGTGATTTCTGCAAACTTATTATTATATGATCAATGGGCTCTCTCGGTAACACTTAGGTCAAAGTATAACCTTACACGTAACACTTTGCATTTAGACTTTGATATTAACGCTGGTACTTTTACCATAACCAATGGAGTCTGATTATACTCTTTACCATAATGTCGAGCGGATCATGAGATTTTCATGAGAAAATATGCCACGAATTTATGTTTGTAACTAGGTATGGAGATATAACTTCGCTCGATAAATATAAATTACTGTAATTCATAAAAATTACGAGAACGTGATTTACTTAATTCGATCGCTTATTTCTACATTTCACATAAATATACCACGAATCAATCGGTATATTACTGTCTACATGAAATAAGAAAAAGTTAGAATAAGCATTTGTAAAAACAAAAGTCGATATTTTGTTAGCATGAGAATTTGATGGAAAGAAGGAGAAGGAAAATTAAAACCATTTGAACTTGCTGTTGATCTTTGAAGATGATTCTATGTCGCCTATTTTATCCACTTAAATGCGTCGCGTAAAAACTACTCATCGAGTTCTAAAAGCACGCGTTCGTACGAGCATTATAAAAAATATGAGTATATTTATATGCACCATCACCATCTATGATTGAACAATTTGATCGACACGTGATCGCTTCGCTTCTATGTAATCAAGGAAATGATCGAAGATAATCAGATATCCAGCATCGGCACTCCTAATCACAAAGTTGTAAGTTTTCTGCGCAACACAAAAAGCAAATCGAGAGAACGCGAAGTAACGTTTTCCGCGAAACCAACTTTTTCAAAAATAGGAAATAATTACAAATTATGGATTTCCGTATAAATATTACGAATGCGTGCCACTGAAAAAAAAAATCTATCAAACCAGTTTATGGCTGCCGATAATTGCGACAATGATACGGTATCCCATTACTTTTTGTTATGCGTATATAAAAAAAATCATTGCGATAATTATTATATTTATCGCTACGTGGATTTATCCGAACAACTGTCTGACATAGTCTGTTGGTGGAAATTAACAGGAAGATACAAGATAAACGGACGAGCGTTTTAACGTGACGTAACCGATAACCGCAAGTGTGAGGTCACCACGCAACTTGTGATACGTGCAAATTTGTACTTACGTGCAAAATTATCATCGAAATTTTAACAACAATTTCAGACTGCCCATTATTGTTAATTAATGATGAAAATCGAGTGCGCATGACCGACGATTCGTGACAAAACGTTAATCTTCGCCGAGATTACCGCTGGAAAACATACATCCGTCACAAATTGTTCAAAGAATTCGTAGATGAAAGATGGCTCGCCAGATCTGGGACAAGTTGTATATTTATGTTGTTGCAAGTTGCGCGCAACTATATCGAGCTGCCCCTGAAATAATCCGAAAACACTCTAGACTCTGGTCCGCGTATCTCTTATCTCGTTGTGCGCCTTCCCTTCAGTTTTCTCTACCTCTTTGGCTCCGTTCGGTTCCCCGAGGTTCCGCGCGCGCTCGCGCGATCTCCGTGACGATCTAAATATTTATAACGCTCGAAGCCTAACCCTTCCACTCCGCGCGGATATGAATTATTAATGCCGCGACCATGCTACCGCATGCTCGCGCGCGTCGCTGTGCATTCCCGATACCGTATACTTTGTCTTGGAGATATAAGGATGGTCAGGGCACGTCGCGAACGTGCGAGGCGATAAAGCGATCGCGCTCCGCTCGCCTCGCTTCGCAGCTCGACTCGCTTAAGCGAATTAAACGGAACGAAACAGAAGCGCGGATTAACGCCACCCGCCAAGTATATATACCGGCGTAATTTCGCGCGCGGAATTTATTTCATGGGCGCGTGTCGCGCGAGGGCCGTTCGCGTCGCCCGAGAGAGAAAGAAGGAGAGGAAGGGAAAGAGAGTTTTACGGCTCGCACGATCGATCGCCACGATCCACGCACGGCCGCAAGATCGTCTCTCTCTCGGCGGTAATGACTTTTTATTTACGAGTCCGACGCCGCGGATGAGATTAACTCGAGAAAAATATACGAGCAGCGGTAAATTCGCGCGTTTCTTCTTCATTCTGAATTGGCGTCGAGCGTTATACAGGATATTCCACGTTCCGTCTCTCGCCGATTCTCTCACCAATGCGGGATACATTTTTCGACCCGTGAAACCGAGAGATCCATTACTTTTCTTCCGCTCCGAGGCGCCCTCTCTCCCCTTTTGTTCTAGCTTTCTCGCTGATATTTACTAGCGACTTTCGTATTTCGTATCGTTAAGAACGTCGGTTTATAACACGCTCTCTCAAAATCGTAAGTCCGCCACTGCATATGAGCCGCGTCGTTACTTCATGCGTCCTTCAATGAAAGAAATGCAAATTCAGCATCGGCGACTCAATAAATAACGATTCGCGCTAGAACGAAAACAGCACCATCAGGATTATTTTCGCGAGTCGAACTAGCACACTGTCATGGCACCTGGCACCAACGTGTACAGCACTAAGAACGCGAAGGAGGTAGTGCCTGATACGATAGCGTGTCATCTGCGATTCATGCGAAAATATATACTATTTCCTTTTTTACTGCCGTTGCACTGTCGAAATAATACATCTTTACGTAGCAGTGCCCAAGTACCTTTTACAGCGAGTATCGTTTCTCTAAGTATCCCGTTTAACCTTCATTTTGAGAAATTTTTTCACGCTTCGGGTCAACGGTTTGTGTGTGTGGCTTGGCAATGATTTCCCGTATGTACAGCCATGGACAGCTGCAACACTTTTATTTTGACGAGTTTCGCATTCCATGTCCGATAGGAGAATTTGTTTTTTAACAATTCTCGGGAGATACATTTTTATATTAGATACAAAGTGCGTTTCGAATCTCATAAAAACAATAGTGTTGTAACTATTCTGTTCCATGAATGTGTATCGTGACTTTATTATTCTAAACTATACATCCTAACGTTGATTATTTTACGTAGCTAATGTAGAAATATTATTTCGTGACACTGCTACATTATTAATATTTCTATACAGTCACTAAGGAAGTATTTGTATACTTCTTTATTTAGATGTTTCACGAAAACGGAAATTACTGTGGCAACATGCCCTTATTTAATTAATAA